TTTCAATGATTAAAACGATTTATTATTCTGTGAAATGTCTTCTCATATCATTTGCCAATTTTTCAATTGGAGACTTATTTTTTTAGAGCTTTTAAAGGAATCCTCCCACAGTTTGGTCACACACTCTATTTGTGCAGGAGACCATCTTCTCCTAGTCGGTGGCTTGTCCCACGTGCTTGTTCCTCTAGTTGCACAGTGTGGCACTGCCCTGCACCAATTTCCACATCCCCTTCGTGACTCCGGATCCTCACAGTTCTGCTTCTCTTTGTCTTTTTGTATCTCAAGGCCATATTTTTTCATAAGCTGCCTGACCTGCAGGGACCAGACTCGGGCTGCGCCTGTCCTGGGAATCCCCCCTCTGCCTGCCTATCAAATCATCTGATGCGCTTTCTCTCTTAGGGGCCTGCTCTGATTCCTCATGTGTAAAATGAAGGGGTTTCACTCCTTGACCTTCAGGGTCCAGTAGATCCTCATCCTCTGTCACTCCACTTACCCTCTTGCCTACACATGCATGCCCACTTCCAGATGACAGGGGGTAAGAAAAAGAACAGACGAACAAAGGCATGGGTCCTTCCCATGTTAACAATGAGAACATAAGCGCACACCAGCCTGGGGTAGCCCCAGGGCAGTGGTGGTATCTGTCCTGATCACCCAGTATCCTCAGCATCCAAGCTCTGTGGCACAGGGTCAATGCTCAAAAACATTTGCTGAATGCAAAATAATAATAACCTGTTTAAACAGTGCCATTTTGTGAAGAAAGTGACGGACAATTATATGCAAAGAACTTTACGTTTGGTAATCAAAGACCTTCAGTTAAAACAATGACATATGATCTGTCAGATCAGCTGATATTAAAAAATAACAATGCTCACATCCTCTGTAAATGATGGATAAATTATCACCTTTTCCCCAGAGTGGAACAATCTTCCTGAAATCCATGTGGTGTTTTTTTACCAAAAGGCTTAACAATGTGCACATGCCTTGACCTGGCAGTCCTACTACACCCGGAAATGTATTTCAAGCAGAGAACTAAGGCCATATATAGACTCAGCTAAAGAAAGGTGCTAACACTCATAAAATTCTGAAGAAACCAACATGTTCAACTAACATGTTCAATGAGTAAATAAAAGACCACATAGTCTTTCAACAAAATATTATTTCACTATCAGACATTGCATGTGAATATCAATTTTTTAAAAATACTCAAAAGAAATGTTGTGAAAAGGTAGTTTATGTAACAGCAGGAAGAGTGTCATTCCACAAAAATCCATATAAATCTATAGAAAAGGTCCCCCCAGCTTAAATACAAGATTAACTGTAGCTGTATCTGGGTAGTGAGGTTAGATATTTCTAGACTTTTCTCCTTTTTGCTAATTTTCTGGATTTTTCTACAATGCCTATAAAGTGCCTTAATAATAAAATTTAAAAAAAAAATCTTCTTAATTTAAAAATGTAGCTTTTAGCTTTCACAAGCTTAGACTTGCAGGGAGTCTTTTGTGGTGGAATCTGAGCTGTGGTCTTTGCTCAAGCTTTCTAGCTCCTTCATTAGTGTGGCTAACTTAATCAGATTCTAAGCTCCTTAAGGGCAGGGTTGATATCCTTTATTCTTGAAAGTATCTTGCACCCCTTCTGGCTGCTTAATAAAAATTCACTGCTCTGAATTCAGTCAAGTACAATTTCAATTTCTGTTCTCATTAAACGTCCCCGATAAATCAATTTAAACAGCTCTAGTAATAAGAGTCTTGCCCAAGGTTTTCTTTCCCCCCTTTACTGTGAGCCAGCTCCTCACCATCCCCAACACGAGGGGGAAAGAGCCTCCTTCAGTAGTGCACACATGTCGAAGCAGGAAGATATTCGTTTCGTGTTGCTCCAGGGTGACGGGTTGAGTAACAGGAAAATGAATTCAGCTCATGTAAGAAAATCTTCTAATTACTCAAGATTGGCATCAATAAGAGATAGCTATGTGACCAGTTTACAGCCACCTTTCACTAGGGACACCGAAGCTGAAGAGAGAAAACAGCATCACCAGCGGTGCCAACACTGGACAGACGTAGGATCAGGTGACCTTTGACTGCTTTTTAAATCTAAACGGACCTTCCTTGTGTTTCTTAGGCTACATTCCCTGCTGAGCTCCAGGGCAGGAGAAGGCCAAGCACACAGATGCATTCCACAGAGCTCACCCCTGGATTCCTGACCCAGGACTCCTTCCCCAAACACCCTGCCATCATCTTCCACCCCTTCAACAGACACCTAACCACACTATGCACCTGTGAAGAACATCCCTCTTCCTTCCTCCAGCACCTGTGATGAACATGACCTGTCATTTTGGAATGATTTTTAAAAATTATGATTTCTTGACTAAGCATTCTTGTAAGTACTTGATGTGAATTATTTTGGCTCATACTCCCAAAATGACCCAGTGAGATAGGAGTGCATGGATCACAAAACCAAGGATAATAAAAGTTTGATAATGTACCTAAGCCACACCATTAGTATAAGCAAATACAGAATTTAAACTTAGGTAGGTCTGACCTCAAACTCAGAATTCACTACCAAGACAGGAGGTGCAATTCCTGAAATATCAAAGCTTGGTGGTTTGGTTTTGTTTTGTTTTTTCCCTAGACTTGGTTTTCAGATGTTATTTAAAAGGGAACTCTGAATTCCATTTCTCTCACATTATTCAGTATTTGCAGTGATAAGCTCTGAACATTATTTCTTCACATTATGGCTTTTTCTTTTCTGGGTCATGTCTCTGAGGTCTCTTTCTGGAGACAGGCACAGTGGCTGAGCAAAGTTTGTCAGGGTTTTAACAGACAGCAAGCAGGGGCTCTGGGAGCTGCCCTGAGACCACATGCAGACTGTTTCTCTAGTCAGTCCAGGCCCTCCCTGCCTCCTTTGCCCCCACCCAGCACCAATTTTTCTCAATGCACTGACACTGGGTGCCCTCATCCTTGCTGGACTCCAAGTGTCTCCATCCACCGTGTGTCTTGTAATCCAGCCAGCAGAACCAGCCACCATTATCCACATCACAGTGTCTCCCCGAGGGGCAGCTGAGCTCAGGCTCAGGGGTTGTCGATAAGCGAGATGGTTAACTTCATGTGTTAACTTGACTGGGCAAAGGGGTGCCCACAGAGCTGCTAAAACATGATGTCTAGGTGTGTCCGTGAGGGTGCTGCTACAAGAGGTTGACATTTGAATCAACTGAGCAAAGAGGATCTGCCCTCCTCCCTCTGGGCAGGAATCACCCCTTCTGTTGAGCATCTTGGTAGGACAGAAAGGTACAAGAAGGGGAAACCTCTCTGTCTCTGTCTCTTCCTGAGTGAGGAGACTGTCTTCTTTTTCTTGCCCTGGGGCATCAGAGGTTGCCAGGCCTTGGACTCCGGGACCTATACCAGTGGCCTCCTTGGTTCTCAGGTCTTCAGCTTAAACTGGGGGTGTGCCATCAGCCCTCCTGGTTCTCAGGCCTTTACGCTCTGACCATCGCACCCCTGGCTTTCCTCCTCCTCCAGCTCACAGCTTATTTGGGGATGCCTTGGCCTTCACAATCATGTGAGGAAGTTGGCAGGTCAGCCTCCTCTTATCACTGCGTTGTAGGCCTTTTGCTTCTCTGGAGAATGCTGGCAGATAACAACAGGACATTCCGTGTGGCATCTTGGTCCCTCCTTCTCCCAGAGCAGCCTCTCTAGTTTAGAATTGTCAACACACCTCAGATACAACTGACCCTCGGTTGCCAGATTTTGCCCAGGGGCCTCTCTGGGTCTTTGGAGTCATCTTGGTGCTCCCCGAAGCTAAAGAGCCTCCTCCCAAGGTTCGCTTCCTTTTGAGGAGACAGGAAGCTGGGAATGGAAGCCAGTTCAGTCCAGGCAGTTCTTGTGACTGTTTCTCAGCCAAGCACATCTTATCCATTCTGGCTGAAAACGCGCTCGGATCTCTGCCTCGCGCGCGCTGTGTTCATCTGATCACGTCTTGTCCAGGGGTCGGCCC